CGCAATTTGGCCCTGCAGGGCGTTGGCTACTGCCGAGCGCAGGGCTGCACGTGCCGCGGGCCGTTCGGCCCCAGGCAATTCCCCTGCGGCACGGCGCAGCCACGTCTCAGCCTCTGCGCCCCAGCGGCCGTTGACATCTAGAACAAAGGGCACCAGGCCCGAAAATGGGTACCTACGGTGCTTCACTTTCTCTCTGCGCTGCAGGGCTGCCTGGCGTGGCCGCCCCGTCTGGGCCACTGCCACCTCGTCCACCAAGCTGATGTCGAGGCAAACTCGGCCACGGATGCCTCGATGATAGACCACGTCCAGTGTGGCCGCGCCTTGCTCCTCCGTGCACCACTCTGGGATGACCTGCTCCAGCAGGGCATGGTGGCCCACCCCGCGCAGCCAGAGCGCCACGGCGTCTCGGATGGCATTGTGGCGGCGCGTCGGGCCGCCTCCCCTGGGACAGTTGAGCGCATGAACGCCCCAAACGTCCACCGTGCGGCCGCGCGTCGGGCCGTGCTGCGCCATCGCGCGGGCGGGCGCTGCTGGTCGGTTCAGGCACGTGCACTCGGACTGCAGCAGCGGCAGATGCATGCGCCTCTTGGCTGCAATGCAGAACGCGTGGTCGGCGAGGGGCGAGACCCCCTCGAAGTTATCCAACCAGGCGCCCGCTGAGCTGCCCGAGGCACTGTGCACCGCCGCCGCTGCCGTCACTGGCAGCGCGGCCATGAACGTCTTGGTGACGTGATCCCGCACGTGCTGGGTGTACGTCTTCTGGTCATTGCCCTCCCGCCCCTCCAGAAGGCCCTGCCAGCGGTCGCTCTGAGGGCGACGGCCGCCAGCCAGCCGCCCCTGCTCCTCGTCTGCTGCTGAGAGGGCACGGCCAAGGCCTGGCCACCTCCGAAAGAGGCCGATCGTTGTCGATTCTCGGAGCTCCTGGGCTGCCGCGTGAATCCCAGCTTCCCAGGATGCCAGGAGGGCGGCGGGGCCGCGCTGCTCAGCGCTGCCACAGCCCAGACCTCCGTCGCTGACCTTCATGAAGATCTGCTCTCGGGGGGCAGCCGTGACCCCGAGCAGGGCGTTGACAAATGCGACCACTCCGTCACCCACCCTGCGGCTCCACGCCGCCGTGAGCGGGAGCGCCCGCTGGATGTGGACGCAGGTGCCCCTCGACCAGATCCGCATCAACTGGAATGCGTCAAAGGCAGAGAGCCCATGCCTGCGTAGCGTCAGAAGCTCCTTGAAGTAGCGGTCCTGCTTCTGGAGGAAGGCTTCGCCGCAGGGGGGTGGCGCGGCGGCGCTCGGGGCGGCCCCGGCGCCGCCAGCCTGCCCGTGGCCCCCCTCATCGAGGTCCTCTGGGACGGCGAAGTCCGTGAGCGGGACGCCCCTCCAGTCGGTGTCCATGTCGTGGCTCGTGTAGGCCAGGGTGGACCCCACCGCCTTGAGCTTCTGGACGCGGTACTGGGCGTACTCTGCAAATTCGGGCGGCAGGACAGCTTGGGGATCGGGGGACCATATCTGGGTCTTGGACATCTTGAGCTTCATCCCGTGGGCCTCGATGCGGGCTCGCCACGCATCCAGGCCGCGGAACACAGCGGCCGCGGTGCCCACGAAGTACGCGTCGTCCAGGAAGGCCAAGCAGTCCCCTTCCGTGTCCACCGCGCGCACGGCCATGCGGCCGATGCTGAGAGCATCCGCAGCGCCGACCGCGTAGAAGCCTGGGCTCATCGGGCAGCCCTGGTCGAGGCCGCGGATCTGGTCGACCAGCTGGGCGGGTTGTGACCCGCCCCCCGCCACGTGGCGTGTTCGGGCGGGGAGCCAGGCTTCCGCCAACGGGGCCAGCGCAGGCACTTTGGTGCGCACGGCCTCCTTCACCAGGTCGCGGGGGATGTTGCTGAACGCATCCCCGAGGTCCACCGCCACCACCCACTTGCCTGGGCTCGAGTTGGCCATCGTGCCTCGGCGCCGATGGAGGGCACCACATCCGTCCTTGGCGAGGCCGAACTGCTGGTCCCCCACCGCCGTCCGCATGTCCTTGTGGTGGACCTTGGCAGCGCTGCGGCCCACCATGCGGCGGGTGACGTTTCCGCAGCCCAAGACTCGCACATCCCCAGGGGTTGCCTTGGGGATGCCTGTGAGGCGCGCCGCCGTCAGGGCGGCTAGCGCCTCGGGGGGGAGGTCCCCGATGGCCAGTCGTGCCAGCGTGTTGGCCACCGCCTCTGCCCCATCCTCGTCGTATTTGAGCGGGGCCCAGTGCTCGTAGCGTCCTCCTCCAGGCCCTGCCCCTCCACGGCGGGAGAAGCGGCCAAACTGACGTTTGAGGTGGTTGGCCACACGGCGGTGGAGTTCTGCTGCGCCGTCGAGCTCGCGGGGAGCCGCGGCTGGCGGCATCGCCACGTCGGCCCCCACCCTTGCGGACCCTCTCCCTGGCCCATGCGGGGCGGCCCCAGTGCCAGGGAGAGGGCCTCATTCGCCTGGGCGGGGCGCCTCATGCTGCTGGGTGGTGCTGAACTTCCTCACCACCGCCGCTGCGTCCGCCATGTCCCCCTGGGGCCACACTGCCGCTGCCGCCCGAGACATCTCCCCAGCTCGTGCGAGCTCGGTGACACGGCGTACACGGGCTGCGACGTGATCCTCGCGGCCCTTCGCGGTGACCGCGGTGCGCGTCTGGTCCTCCATGGAAAGCCAGGCGACATCCCACTGGCCGTCCTGGATCCACCGCAGACGCTCCTGGAGGCGCTCACGCCGCATCGTCGGGGTCGGGGTCGCATTTTCGCTGAACAGCAGTCCGTCCAACGAAAGGAACACCTTCCACAGCCTCGTCAACATACTCGACGTCTGAGCATCGTTACCCTGGCGGGCCTGCTCGATTGCCAAACACAGCCGCACCTTCACGTGGCTGACGGCTGCCGCCATGCTGTCGGGAATCATGGCTGTGGTGGGCGCCCCTTGGAGCAGGATGCGGTCCCACCCGATGGCACCCCATCAGTCCAGGTTGGCGAAACCGACCTCGTGGTAGGCGTCCTCGTTCGTCACCTGGTCGTCCAGGTAGACGCCTGTCTCGAGCCCGCCACCACCGTCCGCTTCCGCAGGAGCGTCGAGCGGCGGTTGTAGGATGTCCGCCGTGGTCGGCACCGCTGCCTCGGCCGCCCCCAGGGGAGTCCCCCGCGCGCCTGGGCCGTACGCCCCTGGCGCGGCGGCGGCAGGGAGCCTCGGGGCTGCCCCAGTGCTCCCTGCCGCGCCATCTCCTTGGCTGGGAGGGGCGGGGGCCTGGCCTTCGACCGTCCCCAGCAGGGGCAAGATGGGGCCTCCTCGGGCCTCCAGGGCTGCCATAAGGCGATCCCTGTCGCCCTCTGGGAGCTGAGTGAAGCCCACCATCGCCGTAGCTGGTGGTAGTGGGCCACCGACGCAGGCCATGTGGAACCACTTCCTGCCCGCGTGCGCCTGGGACCCCGCGGGTGGTGTCACGACGCCTGCCACGCGCCACTCGCCCGCCTCAAAACCTCCCACGCAGCGGGTGCAGTGAGCCTTCTTGCCGCGAGCCGCCTGGGCGCTGACACACCAGCGGGTGATTCGCCCGCCCGTCATGCGGCGCCGCCGCTGTGCTGGTTGCCCCTCGCTGTCACGCATGTGGACGTCGGCGTTGCCATCCACGGGGATGTCGGCTGCGTTCACGCCGGCCGACGCGGGAGCGGCAGCGGAGGCGCACGGGGCTGCCCCAGCACCTCCGCTGCCTCCCGCGGCTGCCAGCACTCCGCCTTCGCCTCGAGCCGCAGCGGCGTTACTCCCAGCCACTCGAGCCCCTGCACCTGCGTCCGCAGCGCCGCCAGCGGCCGCCGCCATCCCAGGACGTCCCTTCAGGGCAAGGAAGAGTGTTCGTAACAGTGGGGGCGCGAGA